TATCAATAAAGGCAGTGCCAAAAATGTGATTTCAACCAACAATCCATACAGAAGTTATCTAATTAAAGAATATCATGTGTAAGTAAGCTTACACTTTACAAATGATATCATCATATTGCTAAATATCGAAACTGATTGAAGGAAAATCATTAAAAATAATAATTGGTTATTCTATAGTACACATATTTTTGGTAAATAGTTTTAACGTACTTTAAGATGTTTAATGTATAATTTCCCATTAATTCTTATTATATTTTATTAATTTGACTTACAGGAATGGTCAAGGGGTATAACTGTTTGACATAGTGTATTTAAATGAGATATCTCGGTGTAGATAAGCTTTCTGAATTCATTAAATGAAAATCGTAATATGTCTATACGTGTATATGTCTTATTATCTATTAGCATCCCACATTTTTAGTAAATAGCTTCGACATAATTTATAAATTTTATTTAGTAATATAATTGAGGTTAATCGTGTTGCCTTTAGAACTATTCCTCCTTCGTCGATCATTATGTCCATGATTATACATTGTTGCCCAACACCACAATTTTCTTTATAACTGACTTACGACGACAAGGTCAAAACATACCTTGTAAAACTTTCCACGGACCGTTCAGTGTACGTGGGCAACATCTTCTAAGACCATGTTTAAGAAGATCAAAAGCACAAAATCCATAATGACTAGATTGAAAGTGACGTGACTTCATATGTGTGTGTGTGTATTGCTGTTATTCCATTTTATTCATTCATTTTTTTTTCATAAAACCAAGTGATTATTTTAACGCGTCAAGAAACTTTTGAACCTTTTTCAAATTCAATTCCTTCTTTATTATACTGATAAACTACCAATAGAAATGTCGAGATTTGTCGCAACGACTTTTTGGTTCGGAGGTTTCGTAACCACAGACGTTTCTTTTCGGATATTGCTCTGGATTAGCTTGGGGTTTGTTTTCTAAGCATTTATTGACGTAAACGCCCTGCTGAGCGAATTTATTCGTTTCCACGAAGAACGGAAATATTGTATCCCTTAGCTGTAAGTTATTTAAGCAGCATTGCACTGTTGATTAGTCGGTAATACGAACAGAATACATAGGTGCTAAACTTGCTGCCCGTGGCGCCAGACTCGCATCTACGCGACTTATAATGCGTAAGCATGTACGGATCATTCTAAAGAAATGCTATTAATACTTTGTTTACTTCCAAATTATTCAAAGAGCGAAACTGTTGATTGTTTCTAGCGACTAGTAGACTATATATTGTACAGAAAGATATATTCTTATAAACATAGGATAGTAGTTAATGAGTTTGTGTCGTTGAGAACGATTGAGACGATTTTGAATAACGAACTGAGTAAAATTTGAGATCAATCAGTGTCAGTGTAAGTTCAAAAACGTTTACTCTAGACAACATATTAAACGAGAACAAGAAGATTTTAGTTCTCTGTGACTACGTTAGTAATTCATGGTTTTGAGATCTGGTAAGAAATGTAACTAAGTTTAAAAAAAAAAAACCCTAATGTAAACTTGACACACCGTAAGTGGAATTAACAGTAAAACAGTGGCTAAGGGTCTGAGAAGACACACCAGGATTAAAAATATATGGTTTACAAACAACGTGAATAATTTGAGAGAAAATCCGAAGAATATATCCATAAGATCAATAGTTGTTGTAAGAGTAGAACAGGAAACTGAAGAATACGCCAAATAATGTGACAAAACTAAACTGCGAATCCAGGACCGGACAGTTCAGAAGAAGGATCGTCAAACAGTAAATAAGTCGATTCAGAAGTTCTGAAAATATTTTAAACACTAAGCTTAATTTCGCCCAATAAAATGCACATAACTCCGTTGAGGCAGCCATAATATAACACATGTATAACAAAAGACCATTTAGTGTTTCAATACCGTTTTTGTACAGCCACTCTTGAGCTTCTGTAAGTTGTTGGCCTGCATTGCCCCCGAAGGTAACTTATTCTATAACCCAGTTATCCTGTTAGAAAAATAAAATTGTGTGTATTACAGAGTAGCTCTGTAATTCTCTGACAGTGTTTTCGTGAGAGTTTAAAGAGACTGAACATGGTGTAAAACACACAGTGAAAATAAATCTCTAAAAACAATAGAAATCATATGTGTGTTGGACGAAGGAAAGCGCTTTTATTAGATAGTTAACTCTCTAATCTCTCCTTACTACTTATATATAGGTTTATTGAGAACTAGTTAACGTTACAGATTAAACATTAGTAGATATCACTATTTACACAAAGAAGTTAAACTTCACTTACCGAACTGATGGCTTGAAATTGAGAGAAAGAGCTAACCAAGAAATCATATTATATTTGTGTGTTTGACGAGTTTCACACTAATCTACTTCAGGGCTATCTGTGCTACCCGTCCTTAATTTTGAAGTGATTAGATAGAAGGCAGCTAGTGAATACCGCCCACTGCCAACTCTTGGATTACTATTTACTAACAGATAGTGAGATTGAACGTCACATTATAACACTCCCATGGGTGAAATGGCGAGAATGTTTGGCGTATGGTTTCGATCCCGCAACCCGCAGATTTTGAGTCCCGTGCCTTTACCACTAGGCCCATAGTATTGTATACTAAATTCTACAATGCTATGTTCTCAGAATGTGAGCGCCACATACGTGGCTATTAATAATCACCTAACATGCCATTGAAGACACCGCTGTTGACATCTTAGCATAATGTATAACATTACAGCCATAATACCCATTAGTAGACTAGGTGTTACCTCAAAAGAATGACGAGAAATAAATCCAGGACGAAAACAATTTAACGAATTTTTGGCCACGTGTTTTATGGAAACTGCACGTATCATAATAAGTGAAAATTTCAAATACTACTATATTGAAATATGGAAGTAGAAAGTACGTAGTACGGTTTTATATATATCACTACTGTCTTAACTGGAGCCAAGCCTGTTTTTCCAAATCTTCTGTCCTCTCGTCTTATTATGGTCATAATACAGTACGAAAAAATCAGATATATGAGGTGCAGGACAGGATAAATAATGTTTAATGTTCTGTGAGAGACGTTAATGTGTAGATCACAGGTGAAAAACAAAACTCATATTCTGGTATTATCACAAAAGGACAATAATATAAGAAGTTGAACATTTCATTTCATTTGTTGTGTTTCAAACTGGTGATACCTACGGGATAAAAACTTAATAAGAGAACATGCCAGCTTGCGTATTCAATAAAACTGCTAAATCACTGTCAGTTAGAATCCAGAAATTTCAACGAAGGAAGGCATCATACACATGTATAACTCGAAGGAAGTAAATCTACGTGAAGAAAACAGTTACCACATTCACTTAATGTTTCTAGATTTTAATCAGCAACTTACCTGATGGAATCACTCTGGAACCACAGCATTTACAAAACCATTATAAGAATTTCAGAAAAACATACCATGGCAAACGTATAGGTCTGTGTTGAGAATATTCCACTGTAAATGGATGAAATATGAAACAAAGAAATATTACCTTCGTTGCTCACTTGAAAAGACAAGCCTTAACAATACCAAATAATCTATTCCACGAGTGACGTTTAAGGTACAGTGAAGAAGAAACAGCCATATATCTTGTTGAAGGTGGGTAATGCCTTCAGCCACATGAATTCGCTGCCACGTGGTCATTGTATTGGTACATTTAAGATGGCCATATACACAACAGACTAAATCAAAGTAAGCGAACTTTGTTGAGAGCAGCTGTTTAATTTTTTATGGAACAATGAAATCCACCAATGTTGCTGAGAGAAAGCTCAGATGACCTGCTCAGAATCATCAGGACATGTCATTGGCAGTAAATTTTTATTGAATAATTATCCCAGAGAAAGTTACTCAAATTTGAAACCTAATTTCAATATAGAAACACAGCTGAGCATTTTCTCTAGAAACTTCATCAAATAGTTTTGAATTACAAAGTTGTCATGGTTGTGGTCAACTATAACTTCACGTCTGGTAATGCCAATATAGAAAAATTACCCGAACCGCAAAAGAGATCCATAAAAGTTCTGGTTGGGCATTTGACGAAAAATGAGAAATATTAATGGTGTTTATACAGTTCATTTAGCTTTTCGATGAACTTGCGGTTTGAAACTTGCTAGGATGAATACAATTTTATTACATCCAGATATAGACGCAAACTGTATGTAATGATAAGGTTTAAGTCAGAGGTAAGCAGACCATTACAATTTTCTAACAACAATTTTTCTTTGCTAGTGAATTGGGCTGCCCCTGCGTGAGAAATCTGTATAGACAATATTTTATATGTGTATGGGTTTGATTGGGTAAAAGGATAGCAAATAGCGAAATAAATAGAAGCAAAGAAACAGAAAGTACATATAGTGTTTCATTTTTTGTTGCTATTCGTGTTTGCTTCAGCAATTGGCTTTTACTTCTATATACAGGAGGTGTGTGTGTGTGTGTGAGGAGGGGGGTAATTACTCTTGAACAATTTCTGTCCAGGTTCCCGGAAATCATAAGTACCGTCCTGGTGTTCCGGACATGTCAGTGGCTGACGTAACTGTGGAAAAGTCTTATGACTCAAATTTTTTATTAATTTCTCAAATAGTTTGACGGTATGTAATTATGGAATTCCTTCACACCTTGTAATCAGGCCTAAAGTAGACCAAACATAATTATAAAATTGTAACCGTGTTGGCGTTACCTAAAATTAATTGAAACTCTAGAAAGCTGTTTCTTGTATTTAGACTTGTGCTCTTTCTTCAGTCTGTTATAATTTTTGCTTTGTTTTCTTAAGTCAATATTTCATATGCTATTCTTAAAAGTATCATGAAAGCTCTTTTTACAATAACAGTAACTTTATAACATGGGCTTTAAATATATTTTTAATCGAGGTCATAATACATTTTATTTTTCAAGTTTCAGAGGATAAAGAAAATCTTATAGTTTCTAATTGATATTACAATTTTGATGTGTTTAACATTTCAATTGACATTCTGTAGGATGGTGTGAAAGAGCTTACTTTGATTACCAGGTTGAAAGGCCACCTATATAGGACCGTGACTATTTCACTAAGAGAGAGCTGTGATGCCACACACCGCTGAAGTATATAACCAAACACCAGGCGGCGTGATAGAGGTCAGTTACTCTGAGTTTAAAACTGTGGACTATTTATTTCGGTTTGAAGAGCTCGTGTCCATAACATTTGAAATTCTGAAAGTACTTTCTGTAGAATTACTTTGTATTTTCATATGAATAGTGCCATCGCTGCCAGATAATGCATTAATCCCATCAGGATTTACTTCAGAGTCAGTAACTTGCTCCTTAATTAGCTGTAGAACCAGTACCTACATATAACTCGTGTTACTTAAATGTTGGAAACAGTACCTACATGTAACTCCTGTTACTTAGTTAAAAGAACTGGTACGTATATATAACTCGTATTACTTAGTTGCAAGAACTGGTACGTACATGTAACTCACATTACTTAGTTATAAGAACTGGTACGTATATATAACTCGTGTTACTTAAATGTTAGAAACAGTACCTACATGTAACTCCTGTTACTTAGTTATAAGAACTGGTACGTATATATAACTCGTATTACTTAGTTGCAAGAACTGGTACGTACATGTAACTCACATTACTTAGTTGTAACAACTAGTATCTACATACAATTCGTGTTACTTAAATGCTAGAACCAGTACCTACATGTAACTCATGTTACTTAGTTGTAAAAACTAGTATCCACATAAAACTCGTGTTACTTAGTTGTAAGAACTAGTATCTACATATAACTCTTGTTACTTAATTGTAAGAACTAGTATCTATATATAACTCTTGTTACTTAATTATATGAGCCAATACCTACATGTAACTCCTATTACTTAGTTTTAATAACCAGTACCTTGTTACTTAGTTATAAGAACCAATACATACATATTACTTATGATACTTAATTGATAGAACCAGTTAGTAGATGTAACTGGTGTTAGCTGTAAGAATTAGCATGCACATGTGTTGTAAATGTAATAACCAGCGCCTGCATGTAACACGTATTGGACACTGAGAACCAGCACTGACATTTAGCTTGTGTTAGCGTCTGTTGTAAGAACCTTTACCTACATGTGACTCGCGTTAATAACAACTGCAAGAACAATGAACTATATAT